TTGTCTATACTAGTTGGATTAACCTGTTGTACTTTGCTTTAACTGTCAACTTGACAGAGTCTCCTGATACGGGAATCTCAGTTGGGGAATTGTCCCATCAGGTTAGCCTGTGGGCATGCAGGTGGAAGATGTCTCCATGTTACTTTTGTAGGAGAGGTACCCACTGTGGACAAGCCATCCCCTTGGCAGGTGGCCCTGGAATATAGCTGAGTATGAACCTGAGTGAACAACTTACAAGCACCATTCCCTCAGGCTGTGATGTCCCTTAGCGATACTGTGACCTGGAAGTGCAGCCTCATGAACTTTTTGCTCTGTCAGAGTGTTTTATCACAGCAACACTTTAACCCTAGCATCCCTTGGTGCCCCCAGGGAGTAGCTGCTACACAGAGAAACCTTCCTTCTCTCCTTAGCTTCCTGAGGCAACGCCCTCACTCACCTCTGTAGTATAGCTGTCATCCCTCCCCCTGTTTGTGTCTCTCGGTTCCATTCAGAGCCCTGTGTAGAAGACAGATCCCAGAAAGGTTCCTGCAGCTACTCTGAGAGCAGCTAGTGGGAGTCCCACAGACACCCAGGGGCCCAGTTCCAGGCTACTAGCTTCCATTTGTTTTGAGTCTGCAATTTAAAAAGGTGATAGTCTGATTCAAGGTTTCCTAATTTGTTCAGATACTAGTTGCCTTGTGCCATAATTAAGTAAGTGATTTATAATTAATTCATTAACTATGCTAGTTAATGATGCTTTAAAGAAGATTACAGCCCTTGGAATAGTGGAAGCAATTCACTCATTCTCTCATGAATACTTGTACTTGTCATTTGCTTAGCAGCCCATTCCTTCTGGTTAGTAAAGCCCAACCCTATTTGTCGTCCAGGAAAGGCACCACGTGAAGCCTGCTGTCACTCAACTCAGCATTTGGGTGTTTCTTTGCCCATTCTTCTTGTGGCTGTTGTGTTTTAGCCATCCTTGCTGCAGGCTGTGGCTCATTTCCTTGTGTTCTATACTTAGTGCAGTGCAGCTGTTGGCCTAAGGTTGCAAACAAGGGAAACACCTTTGGACAGCTTAGAAGTCGTGCTGGTTGTGGGTGGGAAGCCCAAGCCAGAAGGTCTAGGACTCGTGGAGTAGAGAAGGAACCAGCTTTGCCCAGGCTAGAACCCAGGCACCTGCTTCACCTGCCTTGGATTTGCGTAGATTGTTTAGGTGTAGCACTTCCTCAGTGGAAACCATCCTCCCAGGGTGGCCTTGCTTTCCTTAGTAGCTGGGTTTGCTGTGGAGTGATTGGTTCTGCTTTGTAGCTGTGGTCTTTTCTTCTTAAAAATAGCTCAGTGATCCAGGCTCCATGTCCCTGATTTGGGTATTAAGGGCAGAAATGGATGGAACAGAAGAGATGTGAGAAAAATCTGTTATATTTTCCCTCTGGTGTTCTAAGATGGTCTCATGTAGTCCAGGCCAGCTTCAACCTCCAGGTGCTGGGATTACACATGTGGGCCACCACATTCAGCCTGCCATTAGCCCTTGAATGGATTTGGACTTGCAGGGAAGTGATTATAGAAGAAAACTACCTTATTTTCTATGAACTTTAATTTTCAGTAGAAAGATACACTAGACAAGTCAGCTCAGAGTTACCAGTTCAGGCAGTGCAATGCTCAGTGCTGTCCCTTGTCCTCCATGGAAGTGGAGCTGTGCCTGGCCTGTGGTCCAGACACCATTCTCTGCATCTCAGAGACAGGCCTGGTCCCCTTAGATACAATGTTCCTTTTCTACATTGTAGCAAGAGCAAATGGAGTACAGAACTGGGGACACTCAGGGAATCCAGCTCTGCCCCAGACGCTGGTGAGGAGGGCTGAGCTCTGCTGAGCTGTCTTCCTGGGTCACACACACACACACACAGCCTGGCAGCTGGGGAGTAGCAGGCCCCCGTGTATGAAGATACCCGTTCTGTCACAGTGAACACTTGTAGCACAGTTCTTTTCTGCACCTGGTGGAGGCTCCAGGATCCAGGAGATGTGGAAGCAGGGCTCCCTCCAGGCTTCCAGGCCACTTGAAGCCAAGTGGTTTCTCAGCACTGTCCCTTAGCTGGCAGCTGCCTGCCTTCACAGGGTGGCTTTTCTCACTGGGGCAGTGCTGACTGCAGGCCTACTAGACAGCAGCAGGGTTAGCATCAACTCCTGCTGGCTGTGGGATGCTGTCCGTGCGCATGAGAGCTGGAACTCGAGGCAGCCACAGGCTCATCAGGTGTGCCCAGTCACGACCCTGATACTCTGTGTGCATGTGTCTGTTAACAACTGTTGTCAGTCATCAGGCGTCCTGTCGTCACTGACTCAGTTTTGTGGTGCCTTAGTAACCCTGCTTGCTTCCAGGAAAGGCCAGCAGGAGGCTTAGCTTTTTGTCTAAGCCCTTTGTCTTAGGGTTTCTCTTGCTGTGAGGAGACATCATGACCATGGCAACTTTTATAAGGAAAACATTTAATTGAGGCTGGCTTACAGTTCAGAGGTTTAGTCATTATTGTCATGGCAGGAAACATGGTGGCACGCAGGCAGATGTGGTGCTGGAAAAGGAGCTGAGAGTTCTACATCTGGATCAGCAGGCAGCCAGAAGTGAATTGATTTGAACTCCTGAGACCTCAAAGCCCACCTCCTAGTGACACACTTCCTCCAACAAGACCACACCTTCTAATAGAGCCACTCCCAATGGACCAAGTATTCAAAGACGTGAGTCTTAGGGGCCAGGGCCACTTCTACTCAAACCACCACACCCCTCATCTCAGAGGCATCAAGGCAGTCCAGCAGCAATGTCCTGTTCTGAGAACACAAAGTACATCTTCTTGACTGAATTTTTCCCAATGTTTACATGGGTAATGTTTACATCCCATTTATCATCACTTCAGACAGATAGGCAGAGTGCCTGTCCTGCTTCCGTGATAGAACCACCACAGCCCTGTGTTCTACTGGGTACTACTACTACTACCACGACGACGACTACTACTACTTCTCCTTCTCCTCCTCCTGGAACTGGCCCTGTAGTCCAGGCTGGCCTTGAACTCACAGAGATCCACCTGCCCCTGCCTCCCGAGTGCTGGGATTAAAGGTGTGCACCACCACTGCCCGGATCTGGGTACCACTTCTTGCTCTGGGCACCTGGGTATGCTGTGCCTTATTTACCTTGGAGGCATTCTAGCCACTCCCTCTTGGCTCTAAGTGATCAGACATCTGACCACACACTGTTTTACTAATGGAGTGTTTTCTGTGGCCCAGCTACTTTCTGGAGTAGCAGGGAAGGTCCTCCAGGTAACTTCACCTGAGGGAGAAAGCCTGGCTAATGAAGCTTGGGATGCAGGAAAGTGACTGTGTGGTGCTGTGGGTATTTCAGACATAGCTTTAAAAGGAGGATGGCTGTATGTGCTGTTTTCCTAGAGAAGACTTATATTTGGCCATCGGACCCCATTGTGTGGCCAGTCAGTGAGCTACACATGTGATTTAGTGAGCTAGCCTCAGTGTTCTGCTGTGACTCTGGGCCAGTTATTTATCTTCTGTCTATCATGAGGCACACCCAGTGGGCAGGTGCCTGTGTGTGACCCAGGATGCCCTGCATCTTTGGCTAGCTGCTGTGCTGCACTGTGTTCATTGGAAAAGGTCTTTGCTATGCATGTAGCCCTCAAACTGGCATTGTTTTGAATGTATCTTTAAAGGCCACTCATAAAGACTCTGCTGTTTGGAATTGACAAGAGTTCATCTTTGGAGATAAACCACACTGTGAGATTTCATGGACTTCAGAGTTTTGCTTTCATTATATATTTTCATAGAAAAGAAACTAGGGGGCTGGAAAGAAGGCTCAGCTGTTAAGAGCATTGGCTGTTCTTCCAGAGGACCTGGGCTTGATCCTCTGTGCTCACTGCTGTTAACTCTAGTTCCTGGAAATCTGATGCCCTCTTACAGCCTCCAAGAGTTCCATGTGTACAGGTGGTGCACAGATATGCATGCAAGCAAAATTCCCATACACATAAAATAAATAATAATAAAAATGTAAATAAGCTGGACTTTTTTGTTTACAGAAGTTTCTGTCCAACCCCGGTCCTGTCACCCTTTGATCCCAAGTAAACATACAGGCTAATTATATTAATTATAAACTGTTTGGCTGATGATTCAGGCATCTTATTGGCTAGCTCTCTCTTAATGATTAACCCATTTCTATTAATCTGTGTACCTCCACATGGTCTTGGCTTAATGGGGATGCCTGGACCTTTCTTCCTGACATCTCCCTGGCAACTCACTCTCTGTGTTCCTCTTTCCAGCATTTCCTTAGTCTGGTAGCCCTGCCTATACTTTCTTTCTGGCTTCATCCTGCCTGTCCATTGGCCAAAACAATGGCCAAATCAACCAATAAGAGAAACATATATTTACAGCATACAGAAGGATAACCCCCATCTTTTTTTTTTTAAAGTTTAGTTTTTATTTTATGTGTATGGCTGTTTGCTGTATGTCTGTGTACCATTTGTGTACAGTGCCTTTGGAGACCAGAAGAGGACATCAGATCCTCTAGAACTAGAGTTACAACGGATTATAACTGGGAATCGAACCTAGGGTTCTCTGGAAGAGCAACAAATGCTCTTAACCACTGAGACATCACTGCAGTCCCAGGAGCTGGATTGTGAGGGGCTCCAAATGTATTTTGATCTATAGAAAGGTTAGCGGGAGCTGGAGAGATGGCTCAGAGGTTAAGAGCACTGGCTGCTTTTCCAGAGGTCCCGAGTTAAATTCCCAGCAACCACATGATGGCTCACAACCATCCATTATGAGATCTGGTGCCCTCTTCTGGTGTGCAGATATACATGGAAGCAGAATGTTGTATACATAATAAATAAATAAAATCTTTAAAAAAATAAAAAATAAATAAAAAAAGAGACTTTAAAAAAAAAAAGAAAGGTTAGCATTCTGCTTAATTGTAACTCTCGGGTTTTTCTCTTTTCTCCATCAGACTTCATGAGGAAATAATTGATTTTTATAACTTCATGTCCCCTTGTCCTGAAGAAGCCGCCATGAGAAGGGAGGTGGTGACTCGGATTGAAACTGTGGTGAAAGACCTCTGGCCAACAGCGGATGTGGGTATCTTTTGTGTCACTTCATGCATACATACCAGCCAGTGTGAATGCCCTGTGACTGTTTTGTCAGCTGCATCCCCACACACCCGTGTTTCCCAGTACCCAGGGTATAGTGGTTCTCCAGGCACAGTGCTGGGCAGCATCGCCTGGGAGCTGCTGAGAAAAGCACTCTCCACTGCGTCCTGCCGAATCAGACTCTGGAGTGGTTAGCTTACCAGTGCACAGTTGGGTGAGGACCTAAATTAGCCTAAGAAATCCATTCTTACTTAGAATCTCATACTCATTTATTCATCCTCTCTCCTCACTCTCTCTTTCACATTCTTCTTTTAAAAATCTCCTTAAGGTTAGAAATCTCACTCATGGGCTGGAGAGATGGCTCAGAGGTTAAGAGCACTGGCTGCTCTTCCAGAGGTCCTGAGTTCAATTCCCAGCCACCACATGGTGGTTCACAGCCATCCGTTATGAGATCTGGTGCCCTCTCTGGTGTGCAGATGTAACATGGAGGCAGAGTGTTGTATGCATAATAAATAAATAAAATCTTAAAAAAAAAAAAGAAATCTCCCTCATGCCCCACCCCGACTTCAGTCCCTGCACTTAACAGCATGTAACATTTGTTTCATTAGAAATTGCAAGGACAGGCAGACTCTGCTGGCACATGCCTTTAGTCCCAGCACTCAGAAGGCAGGGGCTGTGAGTTCCAGGCCAGCCTGATCTACACAGTTAGTTCCAGGATAGCCGGAGCTACACAGAGAAACCCTGTCTCAAAAAACAAAAACAACACAAAAAACAGCCCAGTGTTTGATAGTGTCTCACTGTCATGTGGATGTGTAAGTATCTGTGGAAATGAGGTACTTGGGTATTTGTAGTCTTGTGCAGGCAGCTTGCAGTATGCCAACTGACCAGGTAGCTAATAGCCTGGCCTGGATTTGGATGTAACCGTACAAGGAATTTTCTAGTTCATTGTAGCATTTCACCTGCTTCTTCCCCTAATGTCCAGACTGGTTTTGTTGTACAAGGCCTGCTGACTGGAATGTGGGCATTCTCTTTCAGGTGCAGATATTTGGCAGCTTTAGTACAGGTCTCTATCTCCCAACAAGGTGAGTGCTATTCAGACGACTGACTGTGTGCTTAGTGCTCATGGGTTAGATGGATGGAGTCTGTGTGCATCTGAGACTCGAAGAGTCAGCTGGAAAAGGGTTGTGGAGCACAGAGAGAAGATAGGCAGAAAGTGAATTTTAGTTTATATTAAGGCATCAAATTGCTTTCTTGGCATTTTTCATATTGCATGTAATTTCTTATGAACAGAAATGTTTGGCATTAGAGACAGAAGATAAATGGGTCTCCTGCTACTGTAACATAATGCCACAGTCTGGCTTAATTGTAAACACTGTCTTAGTCTCCTGCTACTGTAACACGGTACCACAGTCTGGCTGAATTGTAAACATGTCTTAGTTTCCTGCTACTGTAACACAGTACCACAGAATTGTAAACATGTCTTAGTCTCCTGCCACTGTAACACAGTGCCACAGGCTGGCAGAATTGTAAACTATAGAAGCTTATTTGGCTCTCATATCTGGACTGCAAAGTCCAAGATTCAGAGGCCACAATTGGATCAATCTCTTCCTTTTTATAACTGACTCACCTGTGTGTCAGTGGTCTTGATCCATTCATGAAGACAGTGCCCCAGAATCTGCTCAACCTCAGAAAGGCCTTGGTGGTGTTTGTTGGCAGTCACATTTCAGTGGGAGTCTTTAGGGGAAGGGGAGTGAGCATTGGTTTTACAATAAGCACTGGAGGGTGGGGGTGTGGTGGCAATAGTGAATAGAAAGTTTTAATGAATATTCAAATACAATTCTGTTTGAACAGTATTTCATGAAGATCTTTACATAGAAGAAGTGTCAAATTTATATCCTAAAACTGTCTTCTGGGTTCATATTTTCATGTGCATAATGAGTAGGTGGTTTTCGTTGTACATGCTGCTTAGCATTTGGAGGCTAAAGTGACTTCGATGTCAGAACTTAGGGGCCCTAGAAGCCAAGCAGATTTAAAGTCCTAAGGGACCCCTGGGCGAGAGCCAGTGACAACAGCCTAGACTCTGGAAACTAGACTCTTGACCTAGGTCTGTCTGTTTCATCCATGTGATGACAGGAGCTTTGAGGATCTCTGCACTCTTGCTTTGCATAGTTACATGGCTCAAGAGCTGTATTCAGTGCGCAAGGCTTAGGTGCTTAATGGGACTCTGCCATCACCTTGTGGTGTGGAGGCAGCATGTAGGATGCTGGTCTCCCCCATGGGAAGTCACCTCCTTATGAGGCGTGTTGTGACTGACTCATGTTTCTCTTCTGACCAGTGACATAGACCTGGTTGTCTTTGGAAAGTGGGAGCGTCCTCCATTGCAGCTGTTGGAACAAGCCCTTCGGAAGCACAACGTGGCTGAGCCATGCTCCATCAAAGTCCTTGACAAAGCTACAGTGAGTATGGGGTCTGACTGTGATCACTGCCACATGTTGAAGATTGTCCTCATGTGGTATGAGCATGCAAGTGACTATCTTCATGCTTAGCCAGCTGAGAAGCTGTTTGGTGATAATTGGACGTGACATTTTTGATATCTTCATACTTGACCCTAAAAGACAGAATTGTGTCCATGTGTGTCTGAGGCATAAGAGGGAGAGGAGGCTAGCTAAGGGGAAACTAGCACTATTTTTCAGGAGTGCAGCTTAGGGACCCATGTGGCTGTGTGGTTTTTATGTGGGAAAGGCAGCATGTTATCTTACATTGAAGGAGGAAAACCTAGAGTTCCCTTTGCTGTCCAGGGCTGTGTCTGCATAGGAAAGGGCCCCCATCTCAGAAGCTGAGACTGTGTCTAAGGCCTTCCTGTGGGGTTCCAGTGGTTTAGGTCAGATAGCTTGGGACCTCAGTCTCTGGCCCTGGTGTGTACTGGTTACCAGCTCTGCCACAATGGGCTGCTCTTTTAGCTTGAATCCCTGTGTTACTGGCAGAAGCCATGCTGGCCCCCTAGGATCAGCACAGGGGTCTGTAATAATGTTTCTGTAGGTCCTTGCCAATTGGATGGGATTCTCCAAAGAGCTTTGTAGTCTAAGGAGCTCATTTGTAAAACATGTACCATTCCCAGGGGTGACCGCATGGCTTCCACCATGTTACCTCATCTGCAGGGTTTGCATGAGGAAAGTGTGAGCTTCCTTGCTCTTCTGTGAGCATCTCTCTGGTGCCTGCTCTGCTAGTACTTTTGCCTGGGGTGTATGACTGTTTAGTTGGTGACCATGCCCACTGAGGAGGGAGACTCGTCACAAAGTTATATGTAGTGTCCCGGCAGCAGTGCCTCCGGGCATGGCTCCCCACACTGCCTTTTGTATACCTGAGCTCTGCTCAGCCATCACCCTTTGGCCACTCCTAAGATGGCTAAGGACCGACCCTGTGGCACTCAGTCCTCCAGCTGACAGGCAGGCTCTGTCACTGTTCACATTGGACACCTGAGGAAAGCCCACAATGAATAACAGCTCCATTAAACACCTGGGCAGAGGTGGCAAACTTGCTGTGCCTAGGGTCCTTGCCATCTATTCTGTCTTTCATTTCTCATCCAGCTATCTCAGACACTCTGCCCCTCTCTTCCTTTTTTGGCCACTCGTGCTTGTGCAGTTGATGAAAATGAGGCCTTTGACAGTGAATGGGGCACAGGGGACTTTGTGTTGGTTTTGCTACTTAGATGTAAAAGAAGTCATAGTTGGCCTGAAGGTCCTGAGTTCTTGAACTTTTCAGGGTCTAGACAGTAACTTGGAGGAATGGTGGGTGTAGCTGCTTAGTCCTCCTGGCCTCCCTGCTGCAGTATGTTGAGCATTGAGCCCTGTGTACCTTGCCCTCGGTCACTTGAAGGAGGGCCCATCCCAGCTTCTGAGTGGATGTGCTCTATTGAGCATCCCCCCATGGTGTCCATGGATTCAGGTCTTAGGGTGCAAGGGATTTGTGGGTGGTACAGCCTGTCTGTACCAGCTGCTCCAAAATAAGTATGGCAGTATTACTACTTATTTCTCAGTGTGTGTATACCCCTCCCCAAAGTCTACCAAGAGGAAATGGGTTCTTCTTTGGGCATGTGTGATGGTTTCTTAGGGTGCATATGCAGGTTAGGCCTTCCCACCTGAATCATCTTTCTCAGGCTCCTGTTCCTCTCTAGCTGCCGATCTTTAGGGTCAGACTGCAGGAGCAGTGCAGTGTGTGTGTGTGGGCGAGGCGGGGCGGGGCGGGGAGAGCTAGACATCATTTGGGCCCTAGTGACCACTGATGTTGTTAACTCTTGACAGAGCCCTTCTCTTTAAAGCTTAACTTCAGGGCTGCCAATTCCCTTTTGTGAAGAGAGAATGGTGAATGCTGTCTGGGGAATGGAGACCTCAAAGCAATTTTTAAATTAACTCTTCACAGGTGCCAATCATAAAGCTCACTGACCAGGAGACTGAAGTTAAAGTCGACATTAGCTTTAACATGGAGACTGGTGTCCGGGCAGCAGAGTTCATCAAGAATTACATGAAGGTACTGCTGTCACAGGTCCCCAGTAAAGACAAGGGATGTGAGATGTTGGTGCTCATTTTTCTCATAAATGTTAAAGATCTTGGAATGGGGCATTGTTAGCAGTAGACGGTACAATCATGAGTACCCTGTAATGGTTTCTAGAGGTGCTTGGGAAGTATGTAGCCGTTTTTCTGATTTACTTTGCTTTGAGTAACTACTTCCTAACATTGGGCCTCACTTTAGAGGCTTTGGGGAAATGTTCTTTCTGTTGGTGCCAGCCTTGCTCTCCAGGCTCAGGGCCACACTCACAAATTAGGTCACCATTCCTTCTGTGGGTCAGCTCTCTTTGGAGGCCTCAGTTCCTGTGAGTGTGAGAACTGGCTTGTGGCTTGAGCTGATACCTTCTGGAGCTCTGACCAGGCCTTTTGGCACTCAGGCAGACAGCTCCCTTCTGAACAGAGCCCTGGGGTCTCCTCTCTGTCTTCCACTTTGTCAATTCCTCCTCTCCTGTGTCATCTGATCACAGCATTTGCACCCCAGAGAACACTGGATCAGTCCTTCTCCCTAGTCCTGGCCTCCTGCTGTCCCTTGTTCTGCTCACAGCCTGAGACTTAATTCCTCTGAGTGCTGGGGATTCTGTGGCAGGGCCCCACTGTGTCCCACTGACTGAGTCACTGCTTCAGGGGAAGGGACATGTGTTTTCGTACTGCCTCCGCAAGTATGAATCCTCAAGCCTAAAATTGGAGACAGTTCTTTTTTGGAGGTAGGGGCAGGAGGATGGATGAGTGGGTTCTTTCTCCCATGTGAAGCTTGTTGTGTGGAGCCCTGTAGAAGCCCACCAGCTGACCTGCTCTCCTTTTCTGGGTTACAGAAGTACTCCCTGCTGCCGTACTTGATCTTAGTGTTGAAACAGTTCCTCCTGCAGAGGGACCTGAACGAAGTCTTCACCGGAGGGATCAGCTCCTACAGCCTCATCTTAATGGCCATCAGCTTCCTGCAGGTGAGTGGGTCTTCTCTGAACGTGTTCTCTCGGCATAAGTGGTAACCCTCACCATGAGCTGAGGAGAAAGTTCTCCCTTCCTCTGATGCTCTTCTGGCTCAAGGCCTGGCTGCCTTCGTTAGTGTCACTCCGAAGCCTGATTCTGAGTCTGACTTCTGTTAGGTGATGTCTGTCTGAGTTCCAGGAAGCTTTTACCATGTAGAGAACTTGTGGATTGTGCATTCAGAGAGAGAGCAGGAGTTAGTTGGTTTATTCCTGTATGGATCATGAGAAGTCTTTCCATTGTTGCTTAGCTGTAATTTGTCCCTAGACACTTTCAGAATGAAGGGCGGGTACCACCTTGGGGAAAGGATGGAGAAAATTCCTTCAGCGGTTTTCTCATTTTGGTTTTGGAGATAAAGTCGCTCTAGTCCAGGCTGACTTGGACTCATGACTGTCCTCTTGACAGTTTGCACAGTTTGCTTGGTGCTGAGATTCCATATGTGATCCACACTGCCTGGCTCTGGATAGCCTTGTATGATTGATGGTCTTAAGTTGGGTGTCATCTTTGTTTTGGTGAGTGAAGCACAAGGAGAGAGATATCAGATACTGAATCTCTCTGTAGGCACTGAATCTCTCTGTAGGCGAGACTGACATAGAATTCACTATGTAGTCCAGGCTGGCCTTGAGCTAGTAACGATTTTTCTGCCTCAGGCTCTCAAGTGCTGGGGTTATAGGCATGAGCTCTTATATCTTGTGATGCTTTCACATACATAAAATAGTACCCAAGTTAATTGAAATTTTATTACATTTACATTTGCTTGAGAAAAAAAAATTGCCTGTATATTTTAGCCACCCAAGTATATGTCCCCATGTATAGCCATGATTTTCCTTTGCATTGTGTGAAGATTTATCATTTCCAGTGACATTGCTAGCCTGCAAGTTAAACCACAGCTCTAGCTGTGTGAGCTTTGGCTCCCAGGCTTGTTGCCCCTGAAGTGTGTGTCCCCGAGGTGTGACAGCAGGGAAGCTTGTGGTGCTGAGCTGTGAGATCCACCCAGCCCACCCTGTTGTATCTAATCTGATGGTGCAGCCTCACAGCACATCAAGTGTGTGACATTGTGATCTGAGTGGCTGTTTTTATTTCTTGAGTACCCCTGATTTGAGATGACACATTTCAGTTATCTTGTAAGGACAGATGTGATGTGCATGTCACTTTGAGTGGGGGTTTCCAGGGCCTCCTGGTGTGGCTGTTGCTGGGGTCCTTGCAGCTGTGAGACCCCACGTGGATATAGACCCGATGGGATTGCTGTTACTGCTCCATCTTGTGTGCCTGTGTTAGAGCCCAGCAGCCTCAGGCTGTACCTGATATGTCATGCTCAGCCCAGCTGCCTGAGGGAAGGTGGCCAGGCATTGTGCTGAGCTGACTTGAGTATCTGATTTATCAAAGGCAAGGAAATAAAAACAGAAAGATGCCCTGTTCTTTGGGAGAGGTTAGATTCAGGAACCCAGGGCTCTGATGTCTCGAGGGATCTCCCAGGACTGGTATATTAGTGAGGCTTGACTGTCACCATCTAGAATTATGCAGAGGACAGAGCTGTCTGTGTGGCTAAGGAGACTATGAGCCATATACAACCCTGGAGTGCTTGGAGTATGACCAGTGAAACTGACAGGTGAGGTTATGCTCATTCTTCAGTACTGGCCGCATGTGACAGCACAGGTCTGTGAAGTTTCTAGCACTTAGGAATTGTCAGGGGACACGGCCAAGGGTCAAAATGAGTCTTTGGCTTGCTTGAAGAGTGTGCTGTAAACTAGGCTGGATAGTGGTGTGTGGAGTGTGCTGTGAACTAGGCCGCATAATGGTGTGTATGAAAACAGGAATTCCCTGTGCAGAGTTCAGCTTAGTTCACTTCCATTCTGGCTCATGGGATCTGTGATTCTATTCAGTGTCATCCTGCCACCTAATGGTGGCATTTCAGGATGATGAGACCGTTGGACAGAATATGAAAAACTTGCCTACTATTGGGTAGCATGAGGCTAATGAGATGTTTGTGTTTGGAAGTCATGTTCCAAGGCTGACAGGTGGACTGGGGCCTCCTGGCCTCTGCTCACACTTTCTCAGGTGCTGTTGAGTGGGCACCTCAGAGGTTCTGGAGAGGCTGCTAGGTGAGTGTCTTTAGAATGTACCTTCGTTCACACACCTTGTGGCTGTGCTGCTTTTACAGTTACATCCAAGAATTGATGCCCGGAGAGCTGATGAAAACCTTGGAATGCTTCTTGTAGAATTTTTTGAGCTTTATGGAAGAAATTTTAATTACTTGAAAACTGGTATTAGAATAAAAGAAGGAGGTGCCTATATCGCCAAAGAAGAGATTATGAAAGCCATGACCAGTGGGTACCGACCGTCGATGCTGTGCATTGAAGACCCCCTGTTGCCTGGTGAGCTTACTCTCTCTGGCTGCTTTCAGGAGTCCATATTCTAACTGGCCAACTGCATTTTAAAATGTTCACATTGTATAAACACCAGAATTAGGAAAGGTTGATCACTACATCCTCACTTAAACCATGCACTTCTGGGAAGAAGTATGTACCAGTAAGTGCAGGGTCTCCCACAGTGTTTCTCCCATTGCTTTCCTGTTTCATTGTGGATGTTGCTGCTGACATCGTGGTGGCCAAGCAAGGACTCTCCCAGCCTCACCCCTGTTGGCATGTGTAAGGGTGCTTGTGACAGTGTGGTAGCAGTTGGTCTTTCAACCTTTGCCAGTTCAGATAAAACTATGCTGTAGATCCTCGTTTAATTATGTCCTGTATATTTTAGCCACCCAAGTATATGTCCCCATGTATAGCCATGATTTTCCTTTGCATTGTGTGTGGTGAGGATTTATCATTTCCAGGGACATTGCTAGCCTGCAAGTTAAACCACAGCTCTAGCTATGTGTGAGCTTTGGCTCCCAGGCTTGTTGCCCCTGAAGCATGTGTCCCCGAGGTGTGACACTTATGCTGGTGATAGAATCAGCGCCGGACAGATGACAGGATGGCTGTGAAGGCTGTAGGTACCTGCTGCTTTGTCCTTTTTCTCATGGGACTGCATATGTGGCAGCTGGGGTCTGCTGAGCAAGCTCCTCACTGGCTTTCTACATTAGGGGAACCTGTTCCTCACTATACTCCTGCACCCCTACCTTAGGGAGCCCATCCCACACTCCTGCACCCCTATATTAGGGAACCTGACCCTCACTATCCTCGTGCATCCCTACATTAGGGAGCCTGTCCCACACTCATAACCCCTACATTAGGGGAATCTGACCCATACCACACCTCCATACCACAGTTTGTGGTTTCATTTGTGTGTGTTCCTTTTCATTATCTGTTTATTACTCTTAAATTAAATCTTTTAAGTGGCATAACAGATTCCATAGATGGGGAGGTGTGACTTTTCCTGGAAGGGTTCTGTGTGTCACCCTACCCCGCCCAGTGTCTGTTGGACCATTGAGCTATAGACATACTGTGTGTTCAGGTGTTTATTTCAGGGTGCCTGTATTATTCCTGTGCTGTAGCTGACTCTAGGAAGATGAAGTTCCAACGTCTTCCCTAAAAAGTCCATACCTAACCTGCCTGCTTGTGAGAGATGCATGTGTGTAGGAACTAAAGTTCCTCTTGACTCTAGTGGTAGCCTCATGCGGTTTGCTCTGTGGGTTTATACCTGTAGCATTCTTCCTTAAAGAGCCTGTTTCCCACCAGTTCTGAGCTTGTGTTCAGGGTGAACTACCTCCCACCCCATGCTGTGGGACACGGTCAGGAATTATCTGTCATGAGCTTATTGATTATGCTAGAGCCACACTGCTGGTTGTTGTTGAAGACGTCTTGGATTTCCTTGTGGTGTGGTGGTTTTTTTTTTTTTTTTTTTTTTTTTTTTTTTTTTTTTTTTTCCGTTTTCTGCCACCTGGGGACTTAGCAGACCTCATGAACTGTCAGGGTATCTGTGTTGCCTCCTTTCTATTCATGGTAGTAGACTGATCTGGGGTCTGATGTACACTGAACCTGTATGTAAGTACATACACCATGAGCTATATACTGCAGTCAGCAGCCACTCAGTGCTGCGTTCATGTGCCTATTTTGTGAGCTGCTGAAGTTGGAGGCCCCATTCCCAGTACCTGGTTTGAGGAGTTCCGATCCCCAGGGTGATGTGCAGGTCTGAAGCAGTCTGACCATTGCCTTTGTGTTGCAGGGAACGATGTTGGGCGGAGTTCCTATGGGGCCATGCAGGTGAAGCAGGTGTTTGACTACGCCTATATTGTGCTCAGCCACGCCGTGTCACCGCTCGCCAGGTCTTACCCCAATAGGGATTCTGAAAGGTAATGGGGCTTCTCTATCCTGTGCAGTGGCAGATGTACTTTTCTAGTCTTGTGCTTCTGTGACATTGGTGGATACGCTGTCATAGCTGAGTGGTCCTTGGTAATAAGGAAAGCCTTTTTGGGTTCAGAATGGATTTTGGGTGGCCCATGGTCTAGGATTGGTGCTTGTCCAGCAGCCATCAAGTGTGCATGCTCACTTGTGAGCGAGCTGAGCACACTGCTCTGCCCCAGTCCCTTGTGTTTAGTCGTTCTCCAGTCAGACATGCTTATCTCTGACTCCAGGTTAGCTGCTATATAGTATATGCAGGGTGGGGAGCAGACAGCTGGCACGGGTGGGAGTGGAAGGGAAGCAAAGGGCTGTCTGTTCCGGGATGGGCTGTTCAGAAAACTCTGTTAGGAATGACACTGTGGCTTTATGTCGATTGTCTGTACAGTGTTGTGTATAGAGCCCTATGATAGTTGGGTGCTTAGGGTCTGTCTCATCTACCTGTGCAGTGGGAAACGAAATGTCAGAACGTCATAGCTGCTGTGAGTGGGAGCCTAAGATCCCCTTAGACCTGGTTTGAAGCCATCATCTTTTGTAGATGGATCTAGGTTAAGGACTTCCACATTGTGATCTTCTTTCTGTCTGTACCATGATGTCATGGTACACTTGAATATGAACATGTCAGAAGTCAGGGAGATTTTGTAAAATTCACTCAGCTCGATGTCTTTTGTCTTTAATGAGCCTTACCCCTGACACCTGATGTCTGTCTGTCCATCTTTGTTCTTTGCAGTACTTTAGGAAGAATCATCAAAGTCACCCAGGAAGTCATTGACTACCGCAGGTGGATCAAAGAGAAATGGGGGAGCAGAGTCCTCCCGTCTCCAGACCTGGGTGAGAGATGGACACAGGAGAGGCTCAGCCTCTGCCTGTTAGCACAGAAGCCTCTCTTACCCTCTTGTGGCTACTTTTTCCCATTGGCTGTTCATTCCGTAAGCTCTGACTTAATAAGAAGAGAGCAGAAGTTGCAGTAGGCATGGCTGGAAGGGGCAGGTGAAAGCAGTTGTTAACGTTGCTTTTGATTCAACCCAAATGCTTGCATTCCAACACATAATGGCAAGAAATCATTAATATAGGTATTTTTTTCATTTCAAGTCTTAGAATTCCAGGGTGTCTTTGTATTTCTGAATTCTACATTTCTTTTGGAAATACTTGCTTTATGTTATAGCTTAAAAAAGCTACAGGTAAGATTTACACACCAGTGTTGGACAGATATTTTAATGTTTTCTGATAACTAGTTTAATACACATCTAGAATTAGATTAATTCAGATTTAATGTTTGGTTGGTTAGTCACACACCCAGCCTTTCAGAGCTCAGCAGCCCTGTGCTACCAGCATGTTGCACTAATTAATGAGCCAGGCTTTGCTTTCCTGTCCCAGACAACAGGATCAAGATAAAGGAGAGGATCACCACCTGCAATGGGGAGCAGATGAAGAGCCGGGAGCCCAGCTCCCCTTACAGCCAGCGCCTGACTCTGTCCCTGTCCAGTCCCCAACTGCTGTCCTCGGGCTCCTCTGCGTCTTCCGTGTCCTCGCTCTCTGGAAGTGACATTGTGAGCAGGCTTTTGCTCTTGCCTCTCCCTCATCTGGGGGGTGGTTGGTGTTTCTGTTATCTCTAGTAGGGAGTTCAAGAAGTGCCCTTCCACGTGGCTCTGTCCCTTCCTGTGTTTGTAAGCTTGTGTGCGGTCTGTGCTCAGTGTTCTTTGGCATAGGCCTTAACCCCAGGGCATGTTGCTCATGTGACTCATTGACCAAGGTTGTGATAGCACTAGCCACTAAGTGGACTTTTTGAATGGATTTTTGAAATCTGGCTTAGAAATCTACAAACTGGAGTCCGTGCGTCTCATCTGTATTTTCGATAGCCCAGTCTCTCTCAGTGTTGAAGTGACTCTGAGGAAGCGGGGTACACTGGGACCACTTGTCACCAAGGCACTCTGTGCTGACAGCTCTCCTTGTTTCTCTGTGGACTTTAGGACTCAGATGCGCCGCCGCCCTGCACCACGCCCAGTGTTTGTCAGTTCAGCCTACAAGCACCCACCACCCTGATGGCCAGCCTGCCCACAGCCTTGCCAATGCCCAGCAGCAAACCTCAGCCTACTGCTTCCAGAACACTGATCATGACAACGAACAATCAGGTACAGGCTCCCTCCCCAGGGACAGCGCTTGAGCCAAGCAGTACACTAGAGGAGATCATCTCCTTTAGACACGCTTGTCTCCTAGGAACTGATGTGTTTTGGTGGCTGTTAGACAGTCTCTGGTTTTCTGGAATCTGATGGGGTTCTTGAGAACCGGATATCTCTGAAGGGTGCTGTCTCGGTACCCTGCACACAGTGTCTAGGCATTACCCAGCATTACCTATTGCTAGCTGCAGTAGACACTTGTTTTCTTTCCCCCAGAAATTCATTGTACATCCCATTGAAGTGTCAGCAAGACTTGGACTCTCTGCTAATTATGTATGGCTTGGGAACATTTTCTTTTTAAAATTTGTATAAAACCAAACTATAAATATCCAATTTTGTGTATACATCCCAATTATATGTCAGTAGGATTTGTATACACTCAATACATTATCTACTTGAAAGTAAAAGCAAGCTGGGTGGTGGTGCACACCTTTAATCCCAGCATATGGGTGGCAGAGGCGGAGGCAGACTCATCTCTGTGAGTTTGAGGCCAGCCTGGTCTATAGTGAGTTCCAGGACATCGGGGGCTTACACAGAGAAACCCTGTCTCAAAAGGAGGCCAAAAAAAAGTATCACCAGCTTTTGAAATGGAGGATGAGTGTAAAACAGCACAGAACATACAGCTGTGTTTCCTGGAATCACGTGGCCCTGCTGAGCTCTGTTCCCAGAGTCCTGGCTGAGACTATGAGCCGCTACAGCACATGACTCCGGTGTTGTCTCATGTAACACGGCTCACCCAAACAGTGTAGCCCGGACTACAAATTCTCATCTACTGCACACATGGAGCTTTGTGAGATAGTTGCTTAAGTATTAAACTCTGCCCCAGATAAACTTGATTGTCTTCTGTTAGGGACGCTGGTCCCCACTTGGCACTCTGGAGACCTTCATATTTCTCTTTTCCTTCTAGACCAGGTTTACTATTCCCCCGCCGACCCTTGGAGTAGCCCCCGTCCCTTGCAGACAGGCTGGTGTTGAAGGAACCCCATCTTTGAAGGCCGTTCACCATGTGGCTTCCCCAGCCATCCCCTCGGCATCCCCCAGTACACTGTCTAGTCCTCATCTGTATCACAAAGTGAGTACTGTCCGTGTCTTGCTGTTGCAGCTGCTCCAGCTGGGCCTGTGCCCCTAGAAGAGAATTGTGTTCTGGCTCTGCAGTCTCTGTTGTTTTCCTGTAAACAGTGTTTAAAGTGCTAGTTCCTCTAGTCTAACAGTTTACATAGTAGCAACACACCTCAGTTCTTCAGTGCTGCTATGTGAAGTAGAGCAGGCATGAAAGTTGAAGACTTAACTTGGTTTTCCTGTACTCAAGTTGATTTTACCACATAGTTTTTTGGGTCTTAAAATCAAAAGATAAAACTAAGCATTACCCTTGCCACAGCTTGTGGTGTGTGACACTGTCATCTAGTCTACCCAGCCACTGGCTTCCCTGCCAGGAGTGGGGTACTTTGTGCCTAACCATGCTAAGATGTCTTGCCAAGTCTTATGAGCCCCGGGAGTGCTTCCTGTCCCAAGAATCTTCTCCATCCTCCAGGACATACAGCCGTGTCCTGTGTGGAGGACCATGACCCACACAGGGCTGGATGCTGCCCAGGATTCAGAGCGATTTGGGCACCAGTCAGCATTTGCAGTCCTTACTCTGGCTGGCCCTCTTTGCTTTTCCCATTCCAGTTTGCCAGTGCAGTTCCGTTCTCGGAGGGGCTCTCTGGCACTGTCACTAATTCCTGGTTGCAGCTGTGCCAGCACTGGTGGTAGCACTACTCTCACACTGCTGCCTTTGCTGTTTTCCTGGCCTCCTCCACCTGGTCCATTTGCCCAACTCTTCCCGAAAGCAGCTCCTGCTCCTCTTATCCACTTTGCAGTTGCTTTGGAAATGGCCCAAAGCTTTGCTGTTGCCTGTGAAGATGCTGAGAGCTAGGTAGGCATGTATGACTCCCCTGTATGATTCCAGGTTGCAGACAGGTTTCGGGTTTGCAGGGACCTTCTCTTACCTGTGAAGAAGCATAACCCATTAGAAGTCTGTAGGACACGGAATGCAGTGATGCTCTTGTCAGAGTGAAGGGTGTGTGTCCCCGTGTCGTCGTCTCCCCCCCCCCCCCCCCCCCACTGCATATCACAGCAGAGGTGACACGGGTGTGATGTCCTTGTCACCCATCCCATGGTCTTCCTGCTGTACTCCAGCCCTGCTTTCTCTGTCTCTCCAGCAGCACAGCGGCATGAAGCTGTCCATGAAAGGCTCTCATAACCACACCCAGGGTGGTGGCTACAGCTCTGTGGGCAGTGGAGCTGTGAGGCCTCCAGTTGGCAACCGGGGACACCACCAATACAACCGCACTGGCTGGAGGAGGAAAAAACACGCGCACACGAGGGACAGCCTGCCCGTGAGTCTCAGCAGATAATGGCTCCGAGCTGCTCCCACCCCAGACTGCCCATGGGCCTCGGGTACCTCACGCAGGGAACCGAGACCAGCATCCAGCACCTCCACCGTGGGCTGCCGAGTGCTGCCCAGCACTGGTCACTCTGCATGTTTGTGTGGTGGCCGAATCCATCTGATAGAGCAGCTCCCTGCGCTCATCTGTGAAGCCTTACTCAACGTGGATGTGCGTCTGCCTGCCTAGAAGTCTTCGTCCATGCCCAGCAGGGCGGCTCAGGAGTGGCAGGGACCGGCTGTGGTCCTGCGGTTTTGCAGCGGTTGTCTGTCTGTCCCAGGCAGAGAAGTCACGCCCTGCTGAGCATCTTTCTTGCGGGAGTGTGCAGGCTGCCGCTTTACTGCCCTCATGTCTTGTTTGAAACTTTGGGACTGTTTTTCTATGTAAATATTGAGAACTTATGATTTGTGCAATAACTCAGATATTTTTTATTTAATTTCATATTTTCACATAAGTTATATTTAAGGGAGGAGGGAATTTTTTTTAAACACGCTTAGATCCTTTCCCAATTTGCATTTTCTAAGTTGGGTTCCTCGTGTTGGCTGGTTGTCTGTTAAGCGTCATTACATGAACACCGTGAGGAGGGGCTTGTGGGCTTTCTTTTTTAAGTCTTTTCTTTTGGTCAGATGCAGTGAAGGAGCCAAGTCAATCATGATGGTTTTGTGAGGCGTTTGGCTCCCAGGCTCCAGCGTATACCTGGCAGCCTTGCTGTAGGCCTTGGGCTGTTGTCCTGCTCTGACCACAAGGTCTGACATTTTGGGTTGGGTTTTTAAAATTAGACAGCAAATCCAGCATTTAAAGTGCCAGAAGTAAAAACCTCTGTGGGGAAAAGAGGTTGTCACATCATACAAATCTTAAAGTATTGTGACTGTGGACATGCTTCAGTCCGTTAAATGGTGTGGTCTAGAACTATGGGCCTGAGAGTATCATTACAGACAATGGCACCCAGATTTAGGAATGTGGAGAAAGGAATTTCGTTGATTCCATTGAGGAATCTGCATAGCGGTATGCACTCGTTCTGTTAAGAGCAAATATCTGAAAAGTACCTCCGCTGTTCAGGGCACGTGGGGAGTATTTTAACGTATCACAGGAGAGCACAGCCCAGCGTGGGCCCGGGAGCAGCTGGTGCCTGGCGTCAGAAGCATACAGGTATACTATGCAAGTGTATTCTGCCACAACAACCACTGTCTTTGTTACTTTTTTTGAACAAGAATATATCCATCGCCTAATCCCAAGTCTCTGAAGCAGCACAGTTGTCCTGGGAGTGCTTGCATCTTGAAGGCCCTCTGGCTTCCATTTCTGAAATGGGGCTCTGGCCCTGCTAAACACTACAGGTAGGTCCGCCTTTAAGTCCCCTAGTAGAGAATGTCAAGACAAGAAGCTGATGGCTGTGACATCTGACTGACGTGCAACAGTGGGAGTTCTAGATTGATGTCTGAATGTGATGGATGCCTAGCCAAGGACAAGTTCTGCGTGTCTGGGTCCGCCTCTCGTTGCTGTGGTGGGGCCACTGACTCTGGGAGACAGGTCCAGAGCAGAGTAGCACATGGGGTCTGCAGCTCGTGAGGATTGGAGTCGTCCAAAATATTTAAAACTATTTAAATTGTGAAACCTGTTGCTAAAGAATATTTATGAACACTGGTCCATAGGCCTGTACTAATTTACACATTAGCAATATTGACTGTACCTGCATTAAGGAGCCACCGTGGGGCCGTGCGAGTGACCCGCAGATGTGCGTTTTAAAGTTCTGTCCCAGGCACAGGTATGTGTCCATCCCGCAATGGTGAACCAGATGAATTGGCTGGCTACCACTGTGGCCACATGCAACAGTTTGACAAAAAGATATCATGTTTCAATTTTGTGTGTGGACAACAATGTGGACACTAAAATTGACATATTTTTATGTAAAGTTTTTCTATTCTTTGATTTTTAATAAACTTTAGAAACCAGCTTTGTGTTGACTGGATGCTTTCCTCTGAAGGGTGGGGTGGTTTCTATATTAGCTGTTTGCTGGGGTTGAATACGACTCTAAGGTTATCTTGTGGTCATTTTACCGTCATTTCATTACTGGGGTTTGCCTAGGTACTGTGAAAGGCCAACTGTGACTTGTAGGAGGTGTTTCAGCCCCACATGTGGACTGTGCACACCACACTGCACCGTACTCTGTACCCAGGCCTCCCAGTGGAACGTGTGTGCAAATCAACATTGTCACACTAGAGGCTCCCAAAAGTGATGCACCTTCAGTTTGTGGTTCTGGAGGGGGGAGGTTGGTAAGCATACCTATAAGTCACAGGACACTGCACAGCTCATTCAGAGTGTGTGGTAGGACACTGTAATGCTTAATGCACAAGTTGTGAACAAAACACTTGCCCATTCTAACACAATTCTTCTTTCTCCACTGACTGAGTCAGAGAAAGACCAGCCCATGACCTTAGAAGCCTCAGTGAATTCCAGGCAAGATGGGAAACTCATACTAGGCCATTTTTCTTGGAAGCTGGTATTCTGACCTCAGGAGTGTGAGGCTGCCCATGAAGTGTGGGCTGACGCCATTTTTGAAGAGTACTGCCTTGCCCTTACTCTCACCTGTATGTGGGTGCAGATGTGAACCCCTGCCTCCTAACCATTGGCCCAGGGTGTGTGTGTGTGTGTGTGTGTGTGTGTGTGTGGTGTCTTAGGGAGCTCAGCTGCAGAGGATGCTCAGTCATACAGATGGAAGCAGCCCAGAAGCTTTGGTGACATTTGCTGCCTCTCAAGGTCACATGGCAAATGAGAGGAGCCACAGTCCCAGTGCATACACACAGCCCTCTCTCTGGTGGTAGCAACTGCTTTACATTATGACAGTCCCTCCGAGTTGCCTGTGTCTCGGTTTGCTGTCCATGCCATTCACAACATGCTCTGATGCTGGGGGCCTTCTGCCGTGAAAAGTAGTTGCTGCCCTCTGGAGACATTTCTGGCAAAGCTTGCCCAACATCCCAGTGCCATTCCGAATGCCTTTGCACCTGGCCTCCGCTCCCATCTGATTTGCCCAGCTTTGAGGACACAAGTTCAGTCTCTCACCTAGCTATTCTCTTGAGAAAACAAGTGGGTTCATCTGAGCGACCCCAGCCCTGTGCTCTGAGAAAGGGATGCTGCAGTTGCTTGACATGCAGATAAATAATCCTTTCCATTAAGTGTCAGAGGGGAGCCCATCATCGTTGGGCCTCCATGCTTCTAGGCAGCCCTTCCCCTTCCAGTGATGGCTTGAGTTCCTCACTTGGTCAGGCTTGGTCTTCGCCATCAGTCCCACCACCCCCTGATCATAATATCTCGAAAAGCCACTTCTCTGCCTCTTCAGCTGGGGCCACAGCCTTTTTACACTGCCTCAAACTCCTGCTGACTCCAACTGCTGCTGCTGGCCCTGCCTGATTTAGCCCCTGCAAATCCTCCTCTTGAGTTTTCTCCACATACTCACCCCAGCTCTCCTAGCCACATTGGCCAGCTCTCCAAGCACTCCTGACTTGAGCCTGTCTTCTGATCAAATAACCTTGATGGGGTTTCCGTATAGTCCCAACTGGTCTTGCAGAGCTGTTCAGTCCCAAAGAAACACAGAGGCTTATATAAATTATAAACTGTTTGGCCTATTGCTCAGGCTTATTACCAACAAACTTACAACTTAAATTAACCCATAATTCTTAACTATGTGTAGCCACGTGGCTTGGAATCTTTTCTCAGCGAAGCATTCACATCTTGCTTCCTCTGTGTCTGGTTGGAGACTGTGTCTCTGCCTTTCCTCTTCCCAGAAATCTCCTTGTCTGGAAGCCTCATTTATACCTCCTGCCCGGCTACTGGCCAATCAGTGTTTTATTAAACCAATATGAGTGACAAATCTTTACAGCAAACAAGAGCATTGTCCCACATCAGCCACCTCCTGACACCCACCCCCTGCTGATGGCACCACTATGTGTGACCTACTTGCCTGGCCGGCCATGTTGAACCCATGCTAACATGAACTGTGCATGTATGCCACAAAGGCCCTTTCTCAACGTGTGACCTGCTTGCTAGTAACTCTCCAATTGGAACTCCCCATGGGGATCCTATGACCCAGAAAGGCATTGGTTTAGAACCCTTTTCTCTCCCCATGTGTTGTAGTCCCTGTGTGTGGACTGCATACTGCTGAGAATGCAAGCACTCAACTCCTATTTCCATGGTCTTGTCTCCTCACCATTAAAGTGGTGCTCTCCATCTCAGAGACCCTAAACCACAGCAGGTGTGTTCTCTTCTGACACGAGACCATTTCTAGGAGACAATACCTTGGCTCACCCCTTTGATTCTCAGAGACTCCAGGAGGTGCTGCAGCCATCTAGAACTACATGGTGGCGTAGGGAAAACGGCAGAGGAGGAAGACAGGAAAGCTCTGATGTTCTGAGGGGGCACTGGAGTCTTTTCTTTATAGCCCCAGATGGAACATCTACATGCAGAAGGAACCTGTGCCTGGCACTCCTGCCTCTCCATCTGAACACAGTTTTAACTGATGTGTATAAAAAGCAAGCTCACATGTAGCCCTGTGGGAGGTGCTCTGGTTGGGGTAACAGTTTCATTTGCCTGAAGTCCCTCCTCATCTTCCTCCTGGGCTTGGGGGACAGACTGCAGCCCATGGAACACAGTTTTAAACCAGCAGACCAAACATTCATCCCCACCTTTCATTCCAACTTTATTTATTTATTTATGTTTCTGTATTGAACCCACTTGATTTGGGCTAAGGGAGGGAGGCAGCTGACACATGCATCTTGGGCCTGGAATTGGAGCCATTGTCCTGGAAGGAACAACTTCCCATATTGATGTCTGGACACCCGGAATATTTGGAAAGAGACAAAGCCCTATGCATCCTGGTTTCTTTCATGCCTCCTAACCTAGTGAAAGGCTGGGCACATGACCTCAGGCAGGGGACTTCCTCTGCTCCCCTTTCGGGGCTGGTTTCTCTACTCTGCCCTCTGTAAAGTTCAACAGCTGCAGCTGTGGCCCTGGGATGTTGTCCTGCAGGGTCCTGTGGCTCCTACTGGTGGAAGTATCCAATCATCCCCCCTCCTGAAGCCAGCTGGCATTCAGAGTGTTTGCTGTCCCTGCTGCAGAAAGCGGTGTCCTGGAGAGAAGAGAGAGGGCACCCTCGTTCCAGTCTTGTAGATGTTGTGCTCTGCCAAACCACTGTTGGAACTCTGGACCCCCCACTCTAGCCAGGCTGTGTGGCCTTTGACCTCCAGGCAAAGGTGTTCTCTATGGTTGTCTGAGATAACATTTAATAGGAAAACCCGCAGGGCACTCAGGATTCCTGGGACTCTGTTGGGGAACAGAGAGGACTGGGACATCCTGACACTGAGGACTGAATACCTGGGATGCTGCCTCTTGAGAGCCATGGGGCCTTTCTTGCTACCCCAGGACTGCCCGGAGACCCTAGCATCCATGTGACACAGATCTCTGGAGTCACATGTGTCCACAAGAGGACAACAGAGGCTGACAGACTCAGACAAAGAAAATGCTGACGAGAATCTGCTTAAGGCAGAGTTATATTATGTCTCCAGGGTAAGAAAGCCATACTGGGCTGGGGGTGAAGCTTTAGCAGCAGGGAGATTGCCTAGCATAGCCTGAAGCCTTAGAGCCAACACCCAACACTGTAAAAACAAACAAACAACAAACAGGCTGGATTTACAAAAGAAACCTTCTCCTACTTTGGAGAAACGTCAGCCACTTAGCCAGCACTGCCTGGGCCTGGGCTCCTGGCAGCCTGGCAGCAGGAAAGGGACACAATGCCACATCTCGCAGAGCTGAGCTCTAGGCAATGGGTTCAGATTTCTCTGGCCTGCTTATGTCACATACTTCTACCTTGTGTCTTTTTTTTTTTTTTTTTTTTTTTTTTTTTTTTTTTTTTTTTTATTTTGTGTGTATAGATAGGTGTTTTACCGGAGAGTCTGTCTGTGCACCACATGCTTACAGTACCTACAGAAGCCACAAGAGGGCACTGGATCCCCGAGAAATGGAGTTACAAACAGTGATGCACTGCCATGTGGGTGCTCCAATAAAATCCAGGCCCTATGGAAAATCAACCAGTGCTATTTAACCAATGAGCCATCTTTTCAACACCCCTCCATCTTACCTGCTGTCCTGATCCTGCCTTCTCAGTCTCTGGATGCTTGTCATTGCCTTGTGGGTGGAGGGTTTGGGGCTCTTGTGTAGGAGCCATGCTATGCATGCCTGTGGTACCTGACAGACAGGGAACCCGAGCCCCTTGAATAGCTCTTAGTCTTTGAAATGGTTTCACAGGTATGGTATTGGTGGGTGTAGGCTTATCTGGCAACATCTGTGTTTCACAACATGATCCCCTATGAACGTGTTGCAGCCTCTGATTACCTGCTGGGATCAGGCAGATTTGCTTTGTCCCCTCTCCCTTCCATGGAGACTGCAGTACTTCAGCAGGGCAGCTTGGGCTGTGCTTTCACCTGCAGGGACTAAGCATTGGGGGTTGGAAAGTTTGGGGAAGGATACATGGATTTGGACCCAGCTCCCCGCCACGACAGCTTTGAATACTGGAGTCTCAGCTGTCATGGGTCTTTCTCACCTGACGTTTTCTTTGAGATAGTTGAAATCTTTGCCTTTATGACTGTGTTGTGGCTCCAAAGGCCACCCCAATTTTCAGCAACTCAGAGGACTCAGGACATCATGCGTACCCATACATCACTGGGCGTTGTTTGTCACAGTGAGAGGAGACACAGGTGTGTGGCAGGGAGCTGGGAAACTATACTGAAAGCTTTTCCAATGAAGTCACTGGAAGAAGGGTGGGGGTGGGGAGAAGGACACATCCTTCATGGAGAATAAAGGGATAGAGGAACATGTTAGAAGCTGGCAGAGAAGTCCCTTCCACTGATCTCTCTTAGGGAGAGGCTCTGCCTCACCACCTCACTGTGCAAGCCAGTCCTTG